TTGTTATTGAGAGAAGATTGAAGATGTGGAATTTTGCCAAGGTGGAGATTTGTTGAATTTGGCGAAGTCCCACATCGGTGGGTTACCTTTATTGTTATTTTATTGTCTTATTTATTATTTGGTGGCTGTCATAATTTTTGGTATAGTAATTGTGACTTATTCACACTATATACATTTGGCTTCCGCAACAGTAAGTGGGAACACTAGATGACTTTATCTTCAGTTCACAAATACGAGTAATTTTAGTATGTGTTGCTTCCACCGCAATAGGTTTTTCTTATACATTTGTTTGACCAATGAACTAAGAAGATAAGTTTAACATCCGACTCTGCACTGCTGAAAGTTCTGTGTACTACATTAAATAATATTTGTAACATAAAAGTTTCATCTGCAAACATTTTGTGTGCAAGTGGCCATTTGTGCAAGAAATAATTCTTTGTGATGTTTTAATATTGGAAAATCTTGTGTGCTTCAGTGTTTTATGTTACAGAGCCACATATTCTTTCACCTTCTACCTTAGCTTCTCTTTAATGTTTCAGATTCTCTTTTTGATATGGATGACAAAACGCCAACAGCAAACTTAGCCCTTGCGGTGAACTTGTTTGAATTAAAAAGCCAGTTTGAAAGTTTTTATCTACATATTTTGTATTTGTAGCATTTTGGCGATGACAATTGACATAGCTAAGTGGTAAGGCAAAGGATTGCAAATCCTTTTCTTCCAGAGTTAAAATCATTCTCCCAAAAAAAGAAAATTCCCCCTTTTTCCCGACAATTATTTCTAACAGCTAGAGAACATTTCACAAAATGCGCTTTAACAGTAAGTGAGATCTTTGAAATTCAATTAGAACTGTATTGCATTTGGTGGGTAAGATATAAAATTCTTGTGTGAGTGTAAATTTTAGTCGAGTAGTCAAAGTGAAAATTGTTTTCACAACCTGCTAGTTTAAAGACTATAATTGAACAAGTATCAAGTGTATTTAGTTGTGAGACTTGGGTGTATATATCCAAAATTTGTATTTTGTAATGCATCTGTTGAGCAAGTTCCTCCTATTGCCTTACCATCGTTGTTGTCTCAACGTTTATGGTTATTTTCCAATTTGAATTTTTGTCTCAGTTCCAATCACAAACTTATATCTATGCACCTCATGCTATAAGTTAAATTACATTATTATTGTATAAGTTCTTTACAATGTTGGTACGTATAATTAATCCAATTATAATGTCAAATATGAATTTTTTATGAATAAATTTTACTATAAGTTATACTCATCAAAAAAGATAGTACAGTGAATAAGCCACTTAATTTTTATTTTTTTTTATGATGCCTACATTTTTCTTTACCAATGACTAATGGGCTGCTAATTTTTCATTTATCTTGGTTGAAATTTAAATTGGTTTTGTTTTTATGTGAATATCTTAAAATCTCTATACTAAACTATTGAACCATATTGTCGCACTCTTGGCTATTCACGAATGATACTCTTTCATTTCACGCGTGGGTGACAAAATTGTTAAAAGAAAACCGTTAACCACTCGTATTATCCACTGAAAATGGATCGTATAACAAACTTTTTAAAAACGGGTCAAATATGAATAAGAACCGTATTATCCATTTAGAAAGTAGATAATCAATAGATAACTAAGGGGTCTAACTTTTACATTTATAAAGTTTCAAATTGAGAGTTCCTCAAGTTAGGGAGACTAAGAATTCTTCCAAAAGTAATCATATGCAAGAAGTCATGGATAATATAATTATCCATATTATCTGCCGGTTAAACCGTTTTTTATCCGTATTAAATATGGTTAAGTCGAATAATTTATCCATTTTCGACCCGAATCATATCTCGCCCGCCCGCCCGTTTGACACTCATAATTCCACCATATGAGACTCATCAAATCTTGCTGGATAACATTATCCCCTATAAGATGGCTTAGAAGTTGCCACGTAGGACAACATTAGATTGCCACGTAGGCAGAAAATCTCCACTCTCCACCTCTCATTTCTCCTTTACCCTATGCAAAAACCTTTCTTTCCTCCTCTGTTCCATTATCTCTGAGAAATCTTGAAGAAAGAAAGATCAGAAGAAAAAAAAAAGGAAAAAAAATGGCTTCAGTTTGCATGGCTATGCCAGTGACCAAAGCAAGCCAAAAGAGGGTTACACCAACCTCAGATGCTTTCTTTAAGCCATTGCCAGTGAATCCATCAAAGGCAGTGTTTGTGAACAAAGTCTCAAAATCAAAGCTTGAAATATCAGCTTCATTGAAGGAGAAGGCAATTACTGGACTAACAGCAGCTGCTTTGACAGCTTCAATGGTGGTGCCAGATGTAGCTCAGGCTGCTGAAGGACTTTCACCATCTTTGAAGAATTTCTTGCTCAGCATAGTGTCAGGTGGGGTTGTGCTTACTGCCATTATTGGAGCTATTGTTGGTGTTTCCAACTTTGATCCTGTTAAGAGAAGTTAATTTAAGCCTTTCAAATGTCATGATAAATCTGTTAAGTTTCTTTGTAAACTCTCTCTGATTTCTAGTTTGTATTACTGTATGTGCTAATACTCTTTATCAATGAATTTAAAGTATTTTGAATTCAAGAAATGATGACGTCAAACTGTGTTCATATTATATTGCTAGTATTACAGTAAGTGCAACCAAGTTGAGAGGTCATCAATTTGTGATTCTGTATTTCCAATTTGTGATCTTTCTCTGTTTCTGATTAGATTTTATATGTTCACAGTGTAAATGAACGGTTAATTATATATAATCGTTCATAAAGAGTAAGATTAGTAACTAAAAGTTAAGGCTTATTACCTATTACAACATGTTGAGTATCACTGACACTGTAGGGGTCGTTTGGTTGGAATACGATTTATACTGGTATAAGTTATGCCGGTATAACTTATATTGGGATAAGTTATGCTGGGATTGTTGTTTATTCATTGTATAAGTTATGCCGGTATAACTTATATTGGGATAAGTTATGCTGGGATTGTTGTTTATTCATTGTATAAGTTATGCCGGTATAACTTATATTGGGATAAGTTATGCTGGGATTGTTGTTTATTCATTGTATAAGTTATGCCGGTATAACTTATATTGGGATAAGTTATGCTGGGATTGTTGTTTATTCATTGTTTGGCATGTTGTATTAAGAATGACAATTGTATAATTTCTAAGAAGAAGATATAAGTTATACCGGTGCTAATTACCCCACATTCTATAAGGTATAAGTTATCCCAGTGTTAAAATTACACCGGGATAACTTATACCTGGTTTGCTAACCAAACAGAGTATTAAGGTGGTATTAAATTTTTCTTTATACCTTCTTATACCTCATACCAAACGACCCCTAAAAACTTTATTTATACTTGCAGCATATATAAGTTAAATCGTTCTTGATGTTACACCCTTAGTTTTAATGGATGCGTTGGTCTGAGGAGGGATAGGATATTAATATGAATCGCTTGCAATATCTGGAATCACTTGGTCTAATCATACTCAAGTCTTAAAATGGAGTACTCAGGAGTGGTTGTGTAAACACTTTAATAGTAGATATAGAATGAGGAAAATGTAAAGGATGGCCTGTAAATGTCTGAAAGTTGGAACATGAGGCGCAAAACAACCTCATCAAGGCTAACCTAGGTTGCTCACAGAAACTTACTGTGAAACCAAAATGAACTTATGGATACAAAATAAATAAGGATTCTTAGAGTTTAGTGCACGTGTATGAGGTCCAAACGTGCTATTTTATATACCGATACTTGTTCTTCTAGTGTTAATACAGTTAAGGAGAGTGTTGGAGAAGAACCAGAATAATGTTCGATCTTGTTTCTAGATTGAGTAGAGAAAGGATATATAAAGTTCCTTCTCTTCCTCTTATGTATCTAGATAAATCTCCATAAGAAAGGGACAATTTTTGTGTAGTTTGTGATTGGATGCAGTTGTTAAGATCTTTTATAGAATAAATCTTATTGTCTCTTGTTTCTCGGGTTTCAAACATTTCCTGAGAGTAGACCAGTTTGGGAGGGACTGTACTACCACTATATACAGTGCTTGGAGACTGGTTGATTGATTCAGTTTGATGATTATGCATCTTGTTAGTGGAATTAAGTGTAAAATATAGTTTTATTCTAGCAATAAGACTCTTTCCATAATCGCCGAAAAGTTGTCTACAAAATACAACTCATGAAACTTTAATCTAGCTTAATTTGCAGCAGATAATCAAACAAGATGTCTATTCTTCTATTAGCTGGCTGCCCTCAGTGTTGAATGCCATTAAGTTACAAGCTCTTGGTTAGAAAGTGGAATTCAATATTAGTACTATGATTTGCTTCTTTCTACAGGCAATGCTCAGTATGAGCATGTTTCTTGATTATTTTCTGTCATTTTTTTTTAGTTTTATTAGTAGTAGTAAGTGATCATCAGTCATCACTAACAACGACATAGCAACAAGTGATTCTAATATTTTCTGTTGTTGCATTCATTTCTACCCCACTTGTGGGATTGTACTGGGATGTTGTTGTTGCATCCATTTCATTTCTCATGTTCAGTTAGGAAATAAAAATTGTGAAGGGGTATGGGGGGTACTTGTAAAACACAACAAGAAGTAATATTTACCAAATATGTAAAATATGACATATGATTGGAAAAAGGTCTTTTTTTGTTTTTCATTTCTGAGCAGTACATAAAATAGTAAATGTATAGTCATAGGACAACCAGAAGAAGCCTAAGCCTATTTTGCTGAACCAAACCAAAAGCTACTAAGTAACAACTTTCTTTGAGAGAACTCTCAATGTTTCAACACCCCCCTACTTCATATTTCTTTGTTTCCAAACACTTGACTGTACAGTTCCCCCACCAATTTGTTGCCTCAATTTCTGAATGCCACTCCATGTCCATGAATGAACCTTGCATCATCTTCAGTGTACACATGAGTCTCATTCTTCAGCCTGTAATGGCAAAGTATAACTCTTTTTAAGTATCTTATAACTATTATCTATATGAAATTTTCTTTCGTTATACCAAAAATAAGAAGAAATAATCGATAGAGCTTACGTTTTGGCAACGGTCTTATTCAAGATGGTGGAGGAGAAGAAAGAAGCACCATTAAGATATAAGAGTTCCCCTTCAATTCTTTCAGCTATTTTCTTGTCCAGTTTTCCAGCATCAAGACAGAATGGTTGGTCAGAAGCCTGCAAATTAGTGCCAACTTTGTTAGTTATTAGCTGTGCAAATATTGAACTAATATTTAGTTTAGGATTTGATCTGAATCTTAGTACTAACCATAACCCATCCCCATGTATCAGCAAAAGAGGGTACATGAGCTGTATATGCCAGCACATCTGCATCAACATTAAAAATTTAGTAATATGTAGAAAGAAGTGTTAAAACTCAAATTAAGAAGATGTTGCAGCCACAATAGAGACTTACATTTGAAGACCTGCTTGATTGTGTTGTAAATGGATGAGAAAACTTCCTTGTGTGTGAAAACCCCTGCTGGTCCAGCCTGCATATTCACTAGCAATTTGAGTAATCCAACAAGAGCATGATTATTATTTTTTTACGCTATCAGGTCACCCTAAAGGTAATTAGGGATAACTATTTATCATAAAAAAGGGGATAGCCGGTGCACAAAGCATCATGTGTTCATGCAGGATTCGCAGAAGAACCGCACCCTAAGGGTGATGTAGATAGCCTACCTTAATGCAAGCATTAGTGGCTGCTTCTACGGCTCGAAATATGACCTATAAGTCACACGGAGACAACTTTACCGTTACTCCAAGGCTTTCCTTTTAAAGATAACTATTTATAATTAGTAGAATTAGTAACCTGAAAAATAATGCACATGCCCTGAATGTACGAGAGTTTAAGTAATACCAACGATGTAAAAATTTATTATACTGCCAGTAACAATATATAAAATAAATGTGATTGAACAATAGCTATAAGGAAGCTTGAGAGGTGACCTGAGTAACGAAGATGCCACTGTCGTTGAGCTTAGGTTTGAGGATATTTTCGTAGAAAGATTTGGTGTAGAGTTGGTAACAAGGTCCTCCTTCAACTGGATCAGCTAAATCTCCAACTATAATATCAAATTTTTCTTGCCTCTGCTCTAGCTCAGCTCTTCATTCATGCAAAATCAAATCAATTTAAAGTCAACATGGGTAAACTACACGGGCGTATGTACAACAACAACAATCCCAGTTTTGGAGAATAGTGTGTACGCAGTGGCGTACGCAGAATTTTTTATAAGCGGTGTTACATTTAAAGAGAAAAAAAAATTACACCTTTTTGACAGCGCTTCAACCATGATGCATCCGCTCGGGTGTATATCTTATGCTTGAAAATACATTTCCTTCCTCTTAGTTAATGTATTCATTTTGAATCAAGTAACTATAGAAGCAAAAGATCACGTATTTGGTTACACTATACTCCAAAAAATAATATTTTTGAGTTGTCAATTTTTTAGCGTCAACTTTTAAGGAATTTAAATTAACTCCTTTACTTTGTCGATGTTGCTTCGACCATTGGCCGTTTCTTCCAATTTAGATGAATTTTGAGATTCTAAACTTGATTTTGAAAGTTTGATAGATGCTTTAGGATAATCTATTAAAATTTAAGTTGAATTATAAATAAAAGTATCTATTTGAGAACCCTGAATAATTTTATAGAGTACACTTATAAAGTAAAACTATTTAAAGAAGTTCTAACAAAAAAGTAAAAGAATTAAAGAATAAAAAAGTAACAAAATAATTTAATTGACCCAAAATTAAAAAGAAACAACAAAAGTCAAAAGTGTTTAACAACCGAATGAAACACTCTCCAAGGAAGTTCAAACCCGTGACCTTCCCTAAAGAAATCAAGCGCTATACCAACTGGCCAAGAAGTGTGGATGACAAGTGGTGTCACACCTAATAATTTATGTAGCTTATATGGTATTTTGCAGATTATTTATATATACATTTAACAAAAATTACGACGAAGCGGTGTCATGTGACACCGCTTCACTCTTGCTAGATCCGCCCCTGTGTGTACGCAAATTTTACCTCTAACTTGTGAAGGCAGAGAGGATACGGGGCGTATGTAATTTTAAAAAGAAAGAATTTTTACTTGGCGTCGTTAATGATCAAGTTAAGCTTCTTGTTACGAAAAGCCTCATGGTTTGCTGTTAGATGCTTCCTGCAGAAATCCACAACCTCCTGCAAAAAAGTCCCAAAAAAATTTAAAAAAATTGTATAAGATTTTTTTATTTTATTTTTGTACCATTACTTAATAAATACTTTGTATAAGACATTTTTCATAATAATTCAAGCTATAACTTTAATAGGGATTAGGGACTATCGGTAAATTTAATATAATATACGCTTGTTGTGATAAGAAATTAAAAGGAATATGGTAATTCAAGTGGTTAAAGCTGGATTGAAGAACATGTACTAATATTACATATTGGTGTGTTTAATTTTTCTTCACCTTTGTTTTCCTTTTGGTACAGTAAAAGAGGATATATTATTCTGTTTTTTTTTACTTCTCTCTCGAACAAAGAAAGATCCAGAATTTAAAGTTAATGAGTTCCTACAACGATCTCAACTTAATATACAATAGGTTATGGGTTCACAATATGATAT